ATGAAGCGCGGAATGCGGTGCGAGCTGGCGCCGACGCCCAATATGGGAGCCATAGGGGCCTGCCCGTACCATACTTGCAATACCGCGCCAGACTTGGGCAAAGGTCGCAAGACCGCGCAACAATCCGCCAGAGGCACGCGATCGTGCAAGACCGTGCAAGACTGTACGGTACATTTGTATAGATACTAGAAACACCATGAGTTATAATGTCAATCGCATGTCGCTGCCACTCAGGTCTCTGCGTTGATGCCGAGCTGATCGCCCTCGCGCTTCAGGCTACCCTTCATCCCATCCTTTCCAAACATGCTCGACCACTCATTTCTCCGCCTCCGAGTCATCGTATCTTGCCCGAAGTCTCACCTAGATGCAGCCCCGATGTCGAAATAGCGTATGCCACCCCACGCCCTGTGTTGCTACCGGCGTCCGTGCAGCTTGTCTTCTGGCCAAGCATCATTCATCAGGACTTCCAGACGCACCCAAGGTCCGAGCTCGCCCTCGACCTCTCCGATATACCTCGCATACGCGCGGAAACGAGCCTTCTTCGATGAGATGATGCAAGGAATGCCGATCTCGAGTGTCGCGCTGCGGGGTTGCTTCGCTGTGGGAGCAGACTCATGACGAATCGTGTCAGCAGAGCTCTTTCGCTTAAGAGACTCCCGGACTGTCGATACGCTGATCGAGGAGACGACGCTTGCTTGCTTCTCATGAGAGACAAGCGGAGATTTGGCTTCGGCTTTGATCGTCCCGACAACGTCCTCCTCGTCTTCGGAGGGCAGAGGCTTTACCCTCGTTAGTTTCGGCGAAGCGGTGCGCTCAAGAGAGCATGCGCCGGACATATGTCCATCTAATCCATTAGGAAAACTACATAGCGGCGAAGCCTACGCGGTCCAACTCCTCGTCATCGTGGCCCATCGGGGTCTCCCCATCTTCAGGTCCCAGCGCGGTGTCATCTTCGCTGTCCTCACTCTCCGTGTACTCACCATCATCGTTGTATTCCCCATCCTCCTCACCGTCATCCGAATACTCACCGGCTTGTCCTTCATACTCACCATCCGACTCGTGTGGCTGCTCCTGGGCATCGTCCTCAGGCTCCTCGTGAACCTCATCGTCGTACCCATCGCCATCGAGTCGCGTGATGGGCTCGGGTGCTACAGGGGCAGGTTGCGGCTTGCCGGGGTGACCAAGCTGGTGTCCGACCGCGCCGCCATAATAGCGCATGAACATGTCCCGGTCTGCAAAGCTAGTCAAAGGATGTCAATAACATAGAATGAACGAATGAACGCCTGTAACACTTACATGCCAACATAATGATAGTTATAATCTATATCTTCCTCGTCTTCACGGCGTGCGACACTGTAGCCAGGCAGCGCCCTATCAGACTGTCCGTGTGCGAACGCTGGCATCAAGTACGCCGCACGGAGGACTTGGTCGGGTGAGACAAACCCGAACGCGTTGTCATCCAGTGCTGCCCACTTGAGGCGCGGCAGTCGACGGGCCTTGAACCCACCAGGTGCGCGAGGGTCGAGATCGAACCACCTGACCCAGAGGACCTGGATGGCCTCGGTGTCGGTATCATCCGACCCGTCCAGGCTCTCTCCGGCGTGATAGGCGTCGACGTGAAATATCCCGATGACACGTGCATAGAGGTAGGGATGTGGAGAGGCTTCGGGGGCGAGCATCATAATGTCAGGGTGGGTCCGTGGATTGATGGAGTCTTGATCCCGTCGCATGTCGTACGTGGTATAGTTGACACGGAGAACTTTGTGTCGATACAGTCTGTCGTTTTCGATCCGTACGGAGAAGATGTCGTCCACGGTGGGGATATAGTCAGGTGGCAGCTGGTCACTGCCTGGCAGCCGAAGGAATAGATGCGTCTTCAGGTCCCATGTAAAGTTCTGGAACTTCCGTTAGTGACACTGCGAATGCATGGATTCATTGTCATAGAGGCCACAGGTGACGGAGTGGGTAGCCGAGGCCATGGGACTAGAAACAACGTACCTCGCAAGCCGGATCACCCTCGTTGTCGAAGAGGAAGTCTTCGAGTCTGACTGGATAGCGCTTGTCATCTGAAACATGGTAATGTTTGTCAGCTTGGGTGGGCGGCAGCGGCTGCGCGTCATCGAATCGGAGGTGAAGGTGTCGGCCACGAGAAGGAAGGGCTTTCTTGGGTTTACATCGCTTGTGGTGTGGCTTCACAGGCTGTTCCTGCGCCCGGGCAATTTTATCGATGATATTCGCCCGACGGACCTCAAGGGCAATTTGACGTCCAAATGTTCGGTTCTTGTTCGTGCGCCTGTAGAACTGTTTCACACGTCGATGTTCGAATTCGCCCTGATACAAGGGTTAGACAACGTAGGCAAGCAAGATCACAATATTATCTACGTCACTTACCACCTGTGTCGACATATTGTCGGAGGTTCCCATCTCGACAATGCTTCGAGCGTAGTCGCCGAGTCGGTGATATTTGGGAGTGTTGAGGATGGTGAATCTCTTGAGTTTCGAAGAGACAGTGGGAGTCTCGCCGTGTTGTTGAGGCGCCGTCACGCGCCGAGCCTTTCGGCGCTGTCGCGACTGTGTTTCCTTCGGGAGCTCCTGCGTTGAATATAGTGAGCATACATTACGCAAAAATGCCCGCATGGCTTGGCCCAGAGTGCTGGTGGAATCCTCGAATGCTGTAATCGTGGATTCCGAGTGCAGCTGGAGTTTGGCAAATGCATGCCACATTGCGAGCTCGAACAGCATCGTGAGTACGATCGAATTTGCAGGTTCCGAAAGGAGATTCTCGAAGCAGGGGATGGCGCACTACCATTTCATAGGATGCGGACCAAATGTTAGAGTGTGGTTGGCCGCTGAGGCGCAATCAACAGCGTACCTTGAGCATTTGCTCGAAATCGCGAGCCGCAAGCTTCTTCATAGCAGATATGTTGTCCGTGAATCGACGAATGGTAGCGCGCCCGAACGTCGGTGTCAAGGAGAACCTGAGTGACACTGTCAATGGTGGGTTGGAGACTGATAAGGCACATTACTCACCGTTCGTCTAGTTTTTGAACTGCATCATCTCCAGCGGCGATGAGGATCCGAATGAGGTGTGTAAAGGTACCCTTCCAGACACCAAGCTCGAATTCGTGCATAAGATCCGGCACAAACAACTTGTAGACGTTCCGGCCAAAATCCGCGAAACACTGAGAAAAGGCGGACTAACCCGACAACTGTCAAATGATCAGATCAGCAATGAGGCGTGCGACGTACACGAACGGGGGCCATCGAGAACAAGCCAAGCCTCGTCTTCTTGATGTGAGTCCCATCGGGAGGTGTGCCGTCTTCGAATATCCATCGGCGGGCCCTTGTGATCGCGTCGTGGAATACGGTCGTGTCGTTGCGTGCGTTCTTCTTACGAGCAGCCATGTCGCTCTTCATGCCCATCTTCCAGAAGTCGCATTTGTCCGTTGTGCAGTCCGGGCAGGCACATCGTGCAAGGGTTTTCAAACATGCGACCAAGCACCTGTCAAGAGATGAGCATCGAAAGGCCACAGTCACAGTATGGGTGGGTATGTACTTCTCTGGATAGTCGGCCAGGTACATGAATATCCGGGGGAATACTCGTCGAGTGATGCCATCGCCACAGACTATCAGGACACCGTGCTTGAAAGCGTGCATGAACTCGGCATCTAGCAGGAGAAGCCAGACCTTCTCCATGAGCGTATACTTGAGGAGCCGAATGACCGCGGCAGATGCGGGTACCCCAAACGTCTCCTCGTAGAATCGGAGTAGAGTGTCTGGAAGCTAGGGTGACAATGTATCAGAACACATACGTAGATACAACCAAGTTCGTCAGGTGATAAATCACCCGAAGGCATGGAGGATGGCAGCGTATCGCCATACAATGAACAACTCACCGAGGGCACGTAGGCAAGGTGATGCGCGGCAAACATTGACGGTTTGAACCGAAGATACTTGGACAAATTTGCGAAGAAAGCATAGATAGGCCAAAGAGATGCCGTCCCGAAGTTAGTGAGGTGCGTAGAGTCCGAGTAAACCAGGATGCTCCCGACAACGTACTCAACGTCGGGAGCGTCGTCAGGGTTGCGGGGGAGTCTCTGAACCTCCTCGTGCTCGCGGATCATCGCGTCTGAGTTGTAGACATCTGTATACAGACGTTCTGGCCTTGCATTGGGGTTCTCCGATGTTGCGACGCGGCGAAATAGGCGGTGCGGAAACCAGTGGTACTTGCGAACAGATATGTCTTGAAAGGCGGACTTGAGAACTTCTAGTGGGCTCCGCACCCATATCTTGTCGACGACAAACGCGGGGGCGTGTTCTTCGTCCTCTTGCTGGAGCCCGGGCTTTGGGAGATGAAGCATAACGGATGCTTCGCGCCAGCCGTCCGCGGCCGAAAACGCGCCACCAGTGGCCTGGTGTTCATCCAGTCGTCGCTGTTCGCGCTCTACGTTGAAGCGCACGAGGTCGTCCTTCTGGAACCTATCGTCGAGTATAACCTCGTCGACCAGACGTTGAAGCTCGCCTCCGGACTTGGTGAGAGAGCCCGTGTACTGCCACTCCATGAGTTTGAAGGTCGTCCAGTTGAGGAAGGGCGCGAAGGAGTTTGCGGCGACATCCTTGGCGTGTGAGAACCAGGTGCGGACAGTGGGGCCGAAACGTCGGAAGGGGTCTCGCTCGGAGGGGTCAGGAGGGGCACGGAGGTGCGTGCTCGCGTCGGAGAACGCGTCGAGAGTTAGACCAGCCTCGGGGTCATTTTGAGGTACCGTAGTGTACTGGCGAAACACGCCAAAGCGGTTCGCAGGTGTGTTGATGGGTGGGGGAGAAGGAGACCGTGATGGGAGGGGCAAAGGAGACCGTGACGGCGGAGGCCCTATGGCAGGTTCAACACCGTCCATTCCTTCATCGGGGGCATCCTCGACCGTTGCGCGCGGTCGAGGCGATGGCGCGCGAGATGCTGGAGCGGGAGGAACAGGGGGTGGGACTGGGCCTGTCCGGCGGCCAGTCGCGGCGACCACTCTGGGCTTGAGTACGAAGTCCGGGAGTCCCTTGAGAGACGTGGGGAGAAGGTCCGCGAGCCTCGCAGGAACGCGCCGTTTTCGACGCCCTTCGGACTCTGGCATCAGCATGACAGGGATACTAGCTTCGCGTTCAGCCTGCAAACAAGCTTTGAGCCAAAGGTCCATGACGCTGGCAGGAGGAGTAGAAGAGACTGTGTCTAGTGACACCTGCAGACCCGATCGACTGACCAGTGCCTCACAGCGTATGTCAGGGAGAGCACGGGTCGTCGCAAGGGTCACCATTAACCAAGCAGCAAACAGCCGTTGCATCCAGTTCATTAGGAACGTAACTCGAGTAGTGTTCATTCCTGATGATTTCAGACGACATTCACCGACTCACCTCTAGGTGGGCTCTCCGAGCCGCTAGCCTCTCCCTCTGAGCAGCAGCTTTGGCACGCTGTTCTTCCACCTTCCTCTGAGCAAGGGCCTCCCGAACCTGTTTCTTTTTCCCCTGAATATTGATGCGTCGTCGTATTCCGCCATCGTAGAACTCGTGGGCTTTGGCGCAAGTCTCGAGATGGGAGCTGAGATTGCTGAACTTCGCCTTGCAACCATAGCAGGATTCCTTGGGCATCGCAGCCACAGCAAGCAGAAGTACAAGGATAGCCCACAACAGGCGCATATAGGCGGCGAGGAGGATGATGAAAGAAAATCGGAGTGCGTCTGGCACACTTCGCTGGCTGCCAGCGCGACCACGTGATCTACGCGTCCTACGCGTCGACCGTGTAAGCGCCTGAACGCGTCACAGCTCTTCACATGCATGCTATAAAGGACCTCCTCGAGCAAAACAACGTCAAGTCTCCTCTTCCCCCGGCCCCACAAACTCCTCTCTGTATCAACATTCGAAATGCCCAAAAACTCAGCCGGCACCATGAAGAAGAGCAAAATTCAAGACACCCGCAAAGCTGCCCCGGTCTCTCCGCACACCGCCAAGCCCCCGCGCGGCAACCAAGCCAAGTACGTATTTGAGTGCATATATGCACTCCTATACTGACCTCAAACCCTTGTAGGGTCGTTGCGCCTCTATCAGGGACCCCTCCGGGCCAAAAACGCCCAGCCCCTCCTCACGATGACGGCCCCCGCAAGAAAAAAACCAAGCCCGCCCAGGACGGCCCCAGTTCGAACAGCACGCAGGGTGACGACACCACGCCGCGTGACAGCGACACACTGGATGATAAACTCGGGGCTGTGAAGACAAGGATTAGATCCGACTAGAGTCGAAGCAAGATCTTCAGTCAGTAAGGAAAGACTATATTGCAGCAACGAACTGTACCTAGAGTCGAAGCAAGACTACAAAGGTTAAGTAAGTAACTACAAGTTAGAGGTATAGGTAAGGAAGTACTCACTCTTCAGTCAGTAAGGAAAGACTGAAGAGGGAGGACGCAATCTGAAGTCCTTATATACTACAGAGAAGTGTCCATGACTAATCGAAGAGTGGTTAGTCACATGTACCATAGTGCGATGAATAATACAACGACGAAAGAATTGCGACGTATCGCACCATAGGATGAGTAAGAGATGAGTAAGGCATAGACCTGTCTAGACCGTTCTGGAGTAGTACGGATTGTCCTAGACAGTACCAGAAGAGTCCGGAAGCATAGCTATAGTACACGAGCAGAGAGTCCCAAATATGGTAACATACTACATAAGCG